ATGGTGCAGTGTTCCCCAAGTGTTCTATTTCTAGACCTTGACTTTATCTAAAGCTTCCTATGAGCACAAGTAAAAAATAAGGGACGAAACCTAAATAACTTTAAACAAAGGTACAAAAGGCAACCCTAGAGATAGAAAAAAAACAAAAGCCAAATTTAGTTTAAGATTAATGAGAGATAGAAAGGGGGAATACCTCTATCGGAAACCAGTGGAGAACAGTAAAGAGAAATTAGAAACCCCCCTCAAGAGGAAGAGAAAGCGAAGAGACTCCCCGAGCCCTGAAGTGACTCAGAGACCGGACCCGCGATGACGCTGGACCAGATGACTCACCCCCTCGACTTCCGCATGTACTCCTGGCTGGTCGCGAACACCTCCTGGGCCCCCAACGCCACCGTGTACCCGGCGCCCCCGCAGAGCTACCCCATTTCGGACCTGTGGACGAAGGCCGCCGACGTCGAGCATGCCATTCTGGATATCGCCTTCCAGGACCTGCCTTTGGGCGTCATCACTCTGCTGGCGCTGCAGAAGGGCGTGCGCTGCTCGAGCACGCTCTGCCACCCCGTGACCAAGCTCGCGGTGCGCTACAACATCCGCTTCTATGACATCATCATCACCAACATCCTCAAGACCTTCGTGGGCATGTTCCTGATGGCGGTCTCCCTGCCGCTCGTCCTCCCCGCCGTCTGCGCGTTCTGGCTGGCGTCCTGCGTGGTGAGCGCGATCTACAGCACGAGGTACGGGGGCGTGTTCGTGAAGGCGCGGGGCATGGACAGCGTGTGGGGCGTCGAGTCCAAGGAGAGTCGGCCCTTCATCACGATCTGCCTGCTGGTCTCCGGGGCGCCCAGACTCGAGGACATCCAGAGGCACCTCCGGGAGAAGATCCTAGACGTCGTCGAGGAGGGCGCCGAGAAGGACTTCAAGTACAAGAAGTTCCGCCAGGTGTTCTCCAAGGTGTGCGGCTACTACTGCTGGCGCGACGCCGAGGACTTCGACATCGCCAACCACGTCAGGACGCTTCGGCTCTCGGAGTTGTATCCCGGGGAGGAGAGAGGGGAAGAGGGAGCCACGGCCAGAAGAGAAGGAGAAGAAGAAAAGGAAATGGGGAGAGGGGAGAGGAGCGAGGGCATGGATTATCTGGTTCACCGCTTCCTGAGCGAGGAGGGCACACGGCCCTCTCCCCCGGACAGGCCGCCTGGGAGGTGCTGCTGCTGCTGAGGGACGACGGAAGGTGAGGCGGAGGCGCTCGGGGAGGGAAGGCTGGAACAGATGTCGTTTTGAAGCCAGGGTGCTTGCTGTATCTGAACTAACTTTTTTTTTTCTCTCTCTTCGACCCGAATCTCTGTTTATACCTACCTCTTCCTCTCCCTTCATCTCTCTCTCTTCCTCCTCCTTCCCTTCTCAACTCTTTCCCTCTGCCACTTCCTTTCTCTCTATCCCTTTCCCTTCCTCCCCCTCTTTCCCCCTCCACCTACCCCATCCCCACTCCCTCCATCTACCCCCCCCTGGTTCCCTCCCTCCTTCTTCCTTTACCCCCCCTTCCTATGCCCTCCCCCTCCCCCCCATCACCTATGCTCCTCCCCCCCTCCCTCTCCCCCCATCACCTATGCCTCCCCCTCCCCCTCACCTATGCTCCTCCCCCCTCACCTATGCCCTCCCCCCCCCCCCTCCCCGCAGGTACAACGTGGTGATTCGTCTCCACCATGCTATCGGCGACGGAGTGACGCTGATCCGTCTGTGTGTCGAAGCCCTCGTGGACACGCCCCCTGTCGCCCCTCCCGTCGGCACGCGCTCCGGAAACGCCCTCATGAAGTGAGTGGGAAGTCAGTGAAGGTTCAGTGAGGTTTTCGAAAGGGGTCTACTGGAGACCATCCAGGTCCAGGAGTCTTGTAATCAGTCTCTGTGAACTTATATGGTTTATCTTTATTCAATTTATATTATTTTATCATTATTTTTTTAATTTGTTTTTCTTAGAAATTGATTTGTTCTTTGTGTTTCTGACTGAAATTTATTTTCAATAACCATCAATACCATTATATCTATCAATACCATGAGCGTCATCATTATCACAAAGGGCGGGTTTTGACATAGGAACATAGAGGCAGTTACCACTGCAAGGAGCGCTACCAAAAAAAAAAAAAAAAAAAAAAAAAAAAAAAAAAAAAAAAAAAAAATATATATATATATATATATATTAATATATATATTATATATATATATATATATATATATATATATATATAAGGATGGAAATTTATATATATATATATACTAATAATATATATATATATATATAAAGATGGAAATTTAGGTGAATAACTACGGAACAGTGAACAGGTGGGCGTGCTTCCCCATATCTATCAAAGAGTGCCACCACCCAGTGCCTGTCATCATCATATATGGATACCTTGCTGTAGTGGTAGACAGGGAGGGCCAAATCTTTTACCTCGCCTTGAGTGCCAAAAAGGGCGAGAAGCGACACTGATTATCATCATTATCATCGTTATCGAACCACTCTTACCCTCCCCCCCTCCCCCTCCTCCCCAGGGCAGTGATGGCGGTCTGGTCCTGCCTCGTGCTCCCGCTGGGCCTTCTGCAGGTGGTGGCCAACTTCGACAGGAACTGCCTCCACGGGCGCCAGCTGTCCGGCAAGAAGGTGGGTTGTGGGCGGTCGGGTAGAAAAGTAGATGGTAAATAGTTGATAACAGATGGTAAGTAGTTGATACAGATGGTAAATAGTTGATACAGATGGTAAATAGTTGATACAGATGGTAAATAGTTGATACAGATGGTAAATAGTTGATACAGATGGTAAATAGTTGATACAGATGGTAAATAGTTGATAACAGATGGTAAATGAAAAAGATGGTAAATAGTTGAAACAGATGGTAAATAGTTGATACAGATGGTAAATAGTTGATACAGATGGTAAATAGTTGATAACAGATGGTAAATAGAAAACAGATGGTAAATAGTTGATAACAGATGGTAAATAGTTGATAACAGATGGTAAATAGTTGATAACAGATGGTAAATAGTTGATAACAGATGGTAAATAGTTGATAACAGATGGTAAATAGTTGATAACAGATGGTAAATAGTTGATAACAGATGGTAAATAACAGATGGTAGAGAGTTGGCTAGCGATAGATATTTAATAGATTATGACTACCAGATGGGTAGACAGACGCCATTATAGCAGATGGTGGCTAGATGTTTATTAACAGGTAGTAAATGGTAGATAGCCGTAGTATGTGGTAGAAGGTACATTTCCTATTGGTCTACTCCGCTTTGGTATTTTAGTTTTTTTGTTAGACTTTAACGAAGAAAGATTATACCTCTAGGTTCACGTTGAAAGAATAACGTTACAGTTTTTTGGATATTCTAGAAGTTCATAGATTTATTCTCTACCTCTTTCATCTCGCAAACACATCTACCAAATCATACCTAAAAATCCACACACAAAAAATAGTGCAATAAATACGTCACAAAACAACAACAACAACAAAAAACAAAAATAAAAAAATCCAAACCATCTCTCTCCCCCACCACGCAATCGAACGATGACGTAGGTGATGACGTCATCCAAGGGCCTCCCGCTGGCGACCCTCCGGCAGGTGAAGATCGCCGCCTCAGCCACCGTCAACGATGTCTCATGTTCGTGCCTTTCTGCCGCCCTCGCCAAGCACTTCGCCGCAGGTGCTTTGTCCTTTGTTTTTATTTAATCTTGATTTATTTATTCATTCTATTTTATTTTGTTGTTTATTTCTTGTAAGCGGATAGGAGAGGAGGAGGGGTGTAGAGGGAGGTGAAGGGAGGAGGGAGGTAGAGAGGTAGGAGAGAAGTAGAGGGAGGGAGAGAGGGGGGGAGGAGGGAAGGAAGGAGGGAGGGAGGGAGAGATTGAGAGAGGAGAGAGAGAGAGAGAGAGGGAGAGAGAGAGGGAGGGAGAAAGAAAGGGAGAGAGAGAGGGAGAGAGAGAGGAGAAAGAGAGAGAGAGAAGAGAGAGAGAGAGAGGGAGAGAGAGAGAGAGAGAGGGAGAGAGAGAGGAGGAGAAAGAAGAGAGAGAGGAGAGAGAGAGAGAGAGAAAGAGAGAGAGAGAGAGAGAGAGAGAGAGAGAGAGAGAGAGAGAGAGAGAGAGAGAGAGAGAGAAGAGAAGAGAGAGAGAGAGAGAGAGAAGAGGAGAGAGAGAAGAGAGAAAGAGAGAGAAAGAGAGAAGAGAGAAAGATAGACAGAGAGAGAGAGAAGAGAAAGAGAAAGAAAACGAGAACGAGAACGAGACAGAACGAGAACGAGAACGAGAAAGAGAAGAGAACTTTAGAGAGAGAGAGAGAAATCTCTACTCAGCTCCTGCAAACCACAAACCACGCTCCCCCCCCCCGCTCATCCCCAACGCCCTCCCCCTTTGCCCTCAGGTCAGAGGAGGTGCCACAGGTCACCGCCGTCGTCCCCGTCAGCTTCCACGACCTGCGCGCTCCCCTGACGCTCACCAACAAGTTCTCTGTCGCCACCGTCAAGTTGCCCTCCTCGCACTGCCTCGCTCCCGACGCCAGACTCAGGCACACGAAGGTCAGGGACGTTTATATACCTTCTTTTTGCTTCTTTTGAAACAATTGAAAGGTTAGTTGTCATTAAAAAAACACCAAACTTTCCCTCCGTATCATTCCCACCGCCCTCATAAAGTCGGACGAATCTCCTAACTGTGCTGGATGGCGTGGCGCAATCATAATGATAAACAAAAATAGAAACATCAATTTTTCAGTCCATGTCAATCCCACAGCCATCACAAAGTCGCACGAATCTCCCAACAAATTGTGCTGGATGGCATGAGACAATCAAAAAAACAAAAAAAAAAAAAAAAAAAAAAAAAATCTTTCACTCCACCGCCCTCACAAAGTCGCACGAATCTCCCAACAAACTGTGCTGGGTGGTATAAGACAATCAAAAGGACAAATAAGTAAAATAATAATAATAATAATAATAAATAGATAAATATATCTATGTCACTCTCACCGCCCTCACGAAAGTCGCACGAATCTCCCCACAGACAATGCTGGATGGCATGAAGCGCGACCCGACCCTCGCCGCTGTCTTCTGGGTCGTGAGAGCTGTGAGCGAAGTCCTTCCCGCTCCTGTGGCCGAGCTCCTGCTGTCTGGCCGGGGCGTGTCTGTGGCTGCCAGTAATGTCCCAGGTATGTAGAGGAGGAATTAAAAAAAAGGGAATGAAAGAGGAAGACAAAGTTGAGAGAATTTGAGTTCTTTTTTGTTTTGTTTTTGTTTTCTTATTTTCGTTCGATTCGGTTCGTTTCGTTCATTGTTATCATGCATTTTGTTTGGGTTCGCGGGAACCCGAACCGGACCGAATCGAAGGTAAAACGGATCAAGACGGAACTTTTAGGAGATTATTTTTAATATTTATAAACAAGAATTATACTTTATATAACTTTTAAACTTCACTTAAAGAAAATTAGTTGATATCTGGCCTGGGAATCGATGGTTTACGAAAACACTGTTCAGTCTCTCCCGTTTCGGTTCGTGTCCGGGCGCGGCCATGTTGGATTCAAGATTGGCTGGCGGGTGTTGGAAAATGTAGAATTAAATCGTTGACAAAGGTGAATCTGCGAGTTTAAAGTGCAGAGTCACATTTCCCAAACACCGGCCAGCCATTATTGTATTATTATTATTATTATTATTATTATTATTATTATTATTATTATTATTATTATTATTATTATTATTATTATTATTATTATTATTATTATTAGCCATCATCCAGTATGTCACGCACATACACAAAACGAAACGGGAGAGACTGAATATATTCTTCATAAATTATCGATTCCCAGGCCAGATATTAACTCAAATTTGCTTTAAGTGGACGTTAATAGTTACATGAAGTACATTTCTTGCATCAAGAGATAAAAATAATCTCTTACAAGCTCCGTTTCGACCCGTTTTACCTTTGATTCATGTGGATTTTACTAGTCATATAAAGTACAATAATGCTTGCACTGAAAGACAGAAATGATCTCCAAGCACCATTTATTTCTTCTTTTCATCTGCCTTTTATTTTAATTTTATTCACACTGTTTCTACTTCATTATTTTTGTTATTACATTTTCACTTCATTACATATCTTGGTTTACTATAGTGTTGATTATAATGATGATGGAAATGATGATAATGACTAGTTATCGCCATCATCATCATTACCAGTAATAATAATGATAATGATAACAATAACTGTAATAATGATAGTAAAAATACACATACATTTAAAAGTAAATAATTAACATAAAAGTAAAATAAACAGATGAATAAATAAGAGAAAAAAAATAGCAACATAAATAAAACCTCACATACACATATATCTGAAAGTAAATAATTAACACAAAGTAAAAAAAAAAAAATAAAAAAAAATAAAATAAAATAAATAAATAAATAAATAAATAAATAAATAAATAAAAATCAACCCTCCCTTCCTCACCCCCCGCCCCCCTCCCTCCCTCAGGCCCGCAGACGGAGATCAGCGTCTGGGGGGACAAGATCGAGGACCTGCTCTTCTGGGTGCCCAACCGAGCTCCCGTGGGCGTGGGCGTGTCCTTCGCCAGCTACATGGGCGTGGTCAAGATCGGTCTCAACGTGGACGCTGCTTTGGTCCGGTCAAGGAGGGAAGTGAGTGTTCGGATGCCGGTTTTAAGGCGTTAATTGTTTTTTCTTCGTTGATTAGTTTCGTTGATTAGGTTTTCTTTGGTAATTAGTTTCGTTGATTGGGTTTTTCTTTGTCTGGTAATTAGTTTCGTTGATTAGGTTTTCTTTGTCTGGTAATTAGTTTCGTTGATTAGGTTTTCTTTGTCTGGTAATTAGTTTCGTTGATTAGGTTTTCTTTGTCTGGTAATTAGTTTCGTTGATTAGGTTTTCTTTGTCTGGTAATTAGTTTCGTTAATTGCTTTTTCTTCGTTAATTAGTTTCGTTGATTAGGTTTTCTTTGTCTGGTAATTAGTTTCGTTAATTGTTTTTTCTTCGTTAATTAGTTCGTTGATTAGGTTTTCTTTGTCTGGTAATTAGTTTTCGTTGATTGGGTTTTCTTAATTGGGGTTTTAGGTGTTTGATGTCGTTTGTTGTTTTTTGTTTATTGTTCATTTATTGTTTATTTTTTTTGTTAGTTTGTTTTCGTTAATTATTTTAGTTTTCACTTTATTGTTATTGCTAAATAGTTTGTTGTTTTTTGTTTTACGTTAGTGTTTGTTAAGTAGTTTATCAATTAATATATTTTTATCAATTATTTTATATAATTTAGTTAGATCATTTTAGCTGATGTTAATTACGATAAATGTTTGGTTTTATTTCGATTTGTGTTTCAGTTTGAGATTAATTTAAGGATTATTTTATGAATGATAAAATAAATTATTTTTTTTGAGAAGTTTATGAAGTAAATACATCACTAATATTATGTCAGCTGATAGACGCCATTTTGAATCCATCCCTGTCTTTCTTTCTTTCTTTGATCTATAAATAACTTTAATTTGAAGTTAAATCGTTGTTTTTTGAGAAAGATAACATGGTAAAAACGCCCCAAAAAAATTACTCCAAAAGATAGAATGCTTTCTTAATCCTGCTTTTTTTTCTTATTTTTACAATCTATAAATATCTCCAATTATCCTTCTTTCACAATAACATCTTCGCTTGAAAAAAAATCCATATTATTATAAAAATGAGAAAATATACATAGTTGAATAAATTGAATGAATAAACAGAATGATAAATTCTTCAAAACTATTTCTCAATTCGACTTCCTCATTGTATTAATCTTTTATTTTATTCTTCTTAGACTCTCATTCTCCGCTTCATCATCCGATTCTCTGTCAATCACTTCATTATTGCATTATTTTCCTCTCTTTCTCCGTCTCTCATTCTCCGCTTCATCATCCGATTCTCTGCCAATCACTTCATTATTGCATTATTTTCCTCTCTTTCTTAGTCTCTCATTCTCCGCTTCATCATCCGATTCTCTGTCAATCACTTCATTATTGCATTATTTTCCTCTCTTTCTTAGTCTTTCATTCTCCGCTTCATCATCCGATTCTCTGTCAATCACTTCATTATTGCATTATTTTCCTCTCTTTCTTAGTCTCTCATTCTCCGCTTCATCATCCGATTCTCTGTCAATCACTTCATTATTGCATTATTTTCCTCTCTTTCTCCGTCTCTCATTCTCCGCTTCATCATCCGATTCTCTGCCAATCACTTCATTATTGCATTATTTTCCTCTCTTTCTCCGTCTCTCATTCTCCGCGTCATCATCCGATTCTCTGTCAATCACTTCATTATTGCATTATTTTCCTCTCTTTCTTCGTCTCTCATTCTCCGCTTCATCATCCGGTTTTCTGTCAATCACTTCGTTATTGCATTATTTTCTTCTCTTTCTTCGTCTCTCATTCTCCGCGTCAGCATCCGATTCTCTGTCAATCACTTCATTATTGCATTATTTTCCTCTCTTTCTTCGTCTCCCATTCTCCTCTTCATCATCCGATTCTCTGTCAATCACTTCATTATTGCATTATTTTCCTCTCTTTCTTCGTCTCTCATTCTCCGCTTCATCATCCGATTCTCTGTCAATCACTTCATTATTGCATTATTTTCCTCTCTTTCTTAGTCTCTCATTCTCCGCTTCATCATCCGATTCTCTGCCAATCACTTCATTATTGCATTATTTTCCTCTCTTTCTTCGTCTCTCATTCTCCGCTTCATCATCCGGTTCTCTGTCAATCACTTCATTATTGCATTATTTTCCTCTCTTTCTTCGTCTCTCATTCTCCGCTTCATCATCCGATTCTCTGTCAATCACTTCATTATTGCATTATTTTCCTCTCTTTCTTAGTCTCTCATTCTCCGCTTCATCATCCGATTCTCTGCCAATCACTTCATTATTGCATTATTTTCCTCTCTTTCTTCGTCTCTCATTCTCCGCTTCATCATCCGGTTCTCTGTCAATCACTTCATTATCGCATTATTTTCTTCTCTTTCTTCGTCTCTCATTTTCCGCTTCATCATCCGATTCTCTGTCAATCACTTCATTATTGCATTATTTTCTTCTCTTTCTTCGTCTCTCATTCTCCGCTTCATCATCCGATTCTCTGCCAATCACTTCATTATTTACATTATTTTCCTCTCTTTCTTCGTCTCTCATTCTCCGCTTCATCATCCGATTCTCTGTCAATCACTTCATTATTGCATTATTTCCCTCTCTTTCTTCGTCTCTCATTCTCCACTTCATCATCCGATTCTCTGTCAATCACTTCATTATTGCATTATTTTCCTCTCTTTCTTCGTCTCCCATTCTCCACTTCATCATCCGGTTCTCTGTCAATCACTTCATTATTGCATTATTTTCCTCTCTTTCTTCGTCTCCCATTCTCCACTTCATCATCCGGTTCTCTGTCAGTCACTTCATTATTGCATTATTTTCCTCTCTTTCTTCGTCTCTCATTCTCCGCTTCTTCATCCGATTCTCTGCCAATCACTTCATTATTTACATTATTTTCCTCTCTTTCTCCGTCTCTCATTCTCCGCTTCATCATCCGATTCTCTGCCAATCACTTCATTATTTGCATTATTTCCTTCTCTTTCTTCGTCTCTCATTCTCCGGTTCATCATCCGGTTCTCTGTCAATCACTTCATTATTGCATTATTTTCTTCTCTTTCTTCGTCTCTCATTCTCCACTCTTTCTCCTCGCAGGCACAAAGACTCCTTGAAGACATGGAGGAGGAGCTACTGGTCCTCCACAGGCGCCTCGTCCTGGGTCAGCCTTGAACTCGAGGGGAATAAGGTCAAAGAAGGTCAAATGAAGGAGCTCGAAGGGGGAAGGGGAGGGAGGGAGGGAGGGGGAAGGGGGAGGGAGGGAAGGTGGGAGAGAGAAGAGAGGGGAAGAAAGTTCATTATTCAAGTGGTTTTGGTTATCATTTGTTTTGTTTTCGGTTTATCTCTTAATTCTTATCTATTTAT